AAGGACCCTAAACTATGAAAATGATGGTATATTCCTTGTTATGGGTAATGCAGGATTTATGTCATCAACCGTAGGGCTCAACATACCTAAACCGAATACCCAAAATCAGGGTTCGGGGCTTAGGGTTTTTGTGAAATCCCTCAGCAGCTCAAGAACCAAAACAGCAAAGATCTCTAGCTGCACCGCACGTCCCGCGCAGGACGCTGTCCAGGCATTGCCGGCTGGGTGCTAAGCCCACGACATCTCTGACATGAGGGGTTTAGGCCGTAAGACCATGTTAGTTTCTTAAGAATTGTTATATTGATTTCTAACAGCATCTATATCGGTGTGGCCTCTCACGTTATAGTCCAGACATCAACCTCGTACGACACTCTTGGACTCATGGTGATAGACCTGTGCTACTGTGATGATATAACTAAATCCTGCATTACCTTAAGGACCCTAACCTATGGGAAGTATGGTATTTTACTTATTATGGGTAATGCAGGATTTGCATCATCAACCGTAGCATTCAAGCCGAGTTCAAGAATCAAAGCCTCCAAGCCACCAGCACAGTTAGGGTTTAGCGTTTAGGGGCCATGAAGCCAATCCGAGACCACCGTCTCGAAACGTTCTAGCATCTCAAAGCCCTAAAGCCTAGACGCTAAACCCATCCTCCAAGAGGTGCCCGCGATGAAGGCTGCGAAGTTTTGCAAGCCCCACATGAGGCCTTAATAGTTCCAAGAGGGCTTTGGCGGGGAATAATAGCATCATTGAAACCCTAAACCCTTGACCCTGAACTGGCCCTAAACCCTAAACCCGAAGGAATTAATATTGGTGATGACTCTGCTTGCGCCAAGCTGCAAAAACCCAACCAATGCTTCGAAGGGATCTGAGTCTTGACCTTAGGGTTTAGGGTAGAGCAAAGCCCTAAACCCTAAAGTTACGGCAAAACCAGGTCTGCATCGCAGATGCCAGCGGCCCTGTCGACGGAGAGGCATCCGCAAAAGGGCGAATCCGAGGTACTATAGAAGCCTGAATAATTACCTCTGTTATTCCCCGGACTTCCTTATTCTATCAATACTCGACTATACTCCAAGCCCTTAGTGTATAAATGCTCTACTTCAACCCAGTGTTTAGTCTGTATGTGTGACTTTCTCGCTGCTAAGATACGCCGTCTTATGTTTTGAATCCATATCATTGGCTAGGCTTCTGTGCGCAGACCTTTCGTCTGCACAAAGGAAAAATACTCTCCTACGCTCCATTGCCCTATTCTCACTATGAAGGCCAAACAAACCCTAAACCTTAACCGAGCTCTGACTTCGAGCAGACGAAAAGGGGCCCTTAAAAAAAAAAAAAAACTCTACATTATGTGCTCTGGGTATCGAGGCTTCAAACGGGGGGGCGACTGAAGAGTTCTCAGCTGCAGAGATTTTCTTCATCTCGTCTGGCCACGCTTGTGGGGTTTAGGGTTCATGGGGTTCGTAGGGTTTAGGGAATTTATAGGGTTGAGGGTGTAGGTTTCATAGGGTTTAGGGAGTTTGCAGGGCTTATAGGGTCTGGGGTTTAGGATTTAGGATTTAGGGTATCTGTAGGGCTTAGAGGCTGTAGTGTTTTGGAATGATGGCGCACTAGCAGCTGTCCTATCTCGTCAGGTATGCTTCATGAATGTTCATCAGATTGAACCCCAGTCAGTAGACACCCTAAACACTAAACCCGAACAACCATAAACCCTAAACCCTAACAGCCCTAAGCCCTAAGCCCTATAAGCCATAATCCGGCTTGTGGTTCGTGTGGGGGGGGGGACCCTGGGCTGAGGGAACAGGACTTAAAGGACTTAAAGCCATGAAATGTGGAGCTTTGGGCTAGCTATCTGAGCTCGTGTCTAAGCTAAGGAGGTCCATCCTTCCGATGTCTCTAGCTGATGTAGACTTCTGTTCTGACCCACTTTTTGCTGCAAGGATCTTGTTGTTGGGACACCATAGTCTATGGTATACCAATTACAACTTTTACTGTTGAGGGAGAGAGTGTTATTCATCAGGGCATCCATCTGAAATTGCTGTCAGTCTTGCCGTATGGTGGCCTTAAACCCTAAACCTTAAACCCTACACCGCACACCTTACAACCCATAATAACCCTAAGCCCCAAATCCGAAACCCACGCGATGTTGGCTTTGCATCAGATGTAGTGCTGAGTGACGCCAACGATGCTTATGTTCAGTGCGAGGCCGACTTCTCACACAAAGTGGGCATGGACGACTTTCAAGTCAACTCGCTGAACTACCTGAACACAACGTTGTTCAAACACCTCGACACTTCCTTCGGGGCATTTGGCCCAGCAAGCAGCAAGATGTATTTTGAGTACGACGCCAGCCAGGCGGCCAAATCTGAGCACACGCAGACGAAACGGCTTAAGTATCATGACCCTAAACCATAAACCCTAAACCCTAAACCCTAAACCCTAAACCTAAACCCTAAACCGAAAGGGCTTTAAGCCTCATGGACTGATGGGACCTTGGTTGTCACGAACAATGGAATGCAGACCGCAGAATCCTAAACCCTAAGCACTAAACCCTAGCCCCTAGGCCCTAAGCCTCAAATACCCGGCCCGACCATTTTGAGGATTTTGCAGGTTTATAAGTGGAAACTACAATAAGGAAGCCTGAGTCCCAAATTCCCCAATCAAGGAGACTTGCTGCACTGCGGTTAGGATTAGGGATCCCTGTTCGCCACCCGAAACCACCCCTAAGCACTGAAAAGTCCCAACCCCCCCAACAAACCCTAAACCCAAAACCCCCAACACAGCAAGTCATCCTACAAGTCGGTTTAGGGTTTAGGGTTTAACCCCACGGTCAAAAGCCCGAATCGCTCCCAGACCCGAACCCTAAACACTAAAGACGAAACCTTAATCCCTAAACTCGAAACCCCACACACCATAATTAACCTTTGATCCCTAAATCCTAAACACGACAATCCCTAAACCCCTAGACGCGAAAAGCACAAAGCTTCAAGCAAGCGATCAGGACGAGGAATGCCTCGATGATGAGGAAGCCATGGAGGACGGCCAAGACTCTGGGTCTCGGGTGGATGGAAGTTTCAGGTCGTTTCGGGTTTAAAGTTTGGGGGTTTAGAGTTTGGGGTTTAGGGCTTATAGGGTTTAGGGTTTGAGGTTTAGCGTTTGGGCTCTTGGGCTTTGGGATTAGGCTTTGGGGTTTGGGGTTTGGGATGTAGGGTTTAGGAACTCCGTCAAGACTTCGCAGCAGAGAAGCCTAAGGGTCTAAAGGACCTAATAAGCATGTACTTGGGTTACGGATAGTAGTTTTGTAGGTTTAGGGTTTAGGGCTTAGGGATGTAGGCTAGTATTCAGAAGAGTATATGATTATTAGGTACTTGGACCCTTAGGGGAAGCTTTAAAACCGCGAGATTTCCAACAACACTTCCAAAAGCGTTTCGAACCCTTGAGCATCCGTGGTTTAGGGTTTAGGGTTAAGGGCTCAGAGGTTAGGGGTAATATGGGTTTAGGGTTTAGGCTTTAGGGTTTAGGGTTTAGGGTTTAGAAACCATGAACTTGAGCTTCAATACTTGGAGGGTCGCTACTTATCACCCGGATTAAGGTACCTTAACCCTGCTTACTAAGTCCCATGATCCTCCAACTGGGCTAAACCCTAAACCCTAAACCCTAAACTCAGAGAAGCCATCCCAAAACCGTCGACCAACAAAGCCATGAAGCCCTTACGCGAGCAGCTCGCAATGCAACCCCAACAGCGCCGCGCTCTGAGCTCTAAGGTCTTCCACGAGTTCAGTTTAGGGTTACAGTATGGGCTTCAGGGAGTAGGGATGGGAAGGGGCGGATGTAGCCTGTCTAGTGCATTCGAACATGGGGGCCTTAGTCTTTAGATTAGGGTTTTGCTGGCCTCCTAAAAACGAATACGACGGCTGCAATCCGTTATGGAGTTCTCTAGATACTCCCAAGCCAGGATTATGAGAATCCAGAATTTGGAATCCTGCTGTACGGATACCTCACAACAGGCCATGTTCGGGATTTTGTTTTGGATGTTTTGGGGAGGGTCTGGGTGCGCCAGGATGATGGGGATGTGCGCGACATCCAGGAGGTCGAGGCCATGTTCTTGGCAGATCTGGAGGACCGATCTCTAGCATAGAGGTCTGAAGAAGCAGTACTACTTTTCTTTTGGGTTCCTGGCCATGGTTATTTTATGCTAGAGTTTTCCCTAAAGCCGTATTGTACTATTGAGGACCCTATAGTGTAGACCCAAGGCTGTGTGCTCCTTGGAAATCATTTGTTCATCTCTGTTGTCGTGCAAACCCAGGGGGATGTGTGGTTCTTTAGAGTACAACATGTTCATTCTGGGTCAAGGAACTACTAGCGGCTGTGTAGTTGTTCAGAAGCCTAGCAAACTCGACATACACAGTCATGGTTGGTCAGGCTTCCGTAGCATGGCAACTCAATATTTCATCTTTAACACACATGAAACCTCAAGGTAGCAAAACACAATTTTACTTGGGTCTCAAGTCTATAGTTTAGACGAAATAAATGTGGACAGTATAGATGCCTGAAGAACTAATAACTAATGCTACTCTTTAAGGCTCCTTATTTAGATAACCCTAAACCCCAAACCCTGAACAGAAAAACCCTAAAGCCCTAAACATTTTCCATAGCACTTTACTCCAAAACCCCTCTCTGACTATACTCCGAAACCCTGCTCAGGCGAGTACTGAGGCCCCTTGGCAAGTTTCGAAACCTCAAAGGATCCTCAACCCTAAACCCTAATGTAACGGCCTAAATAATTGCAAATGCGGTTTTGGGGGATCCTTATTATAAGTATAGTACAATGCGCACCAAAAACCTATTCTAATTGTGTTAAGGCTCTATATTAGGCAAGTTTCGAATCTGAGCAAGATCCTGAGGAGGAAGGGTTGAAGGTTCAGAGTTAGGAGTTGAACACTCTCCCGAGTCGAGGGTGTTCGAACTCGAAGGTTCAACTTCAGTTTTCGAAGGACTTCTGGCTGCATATAGGGCTTAGGTTTTTTTTGGCTCCTTAAAGGGATCTTTAAGGGTTTCTATAAGGTTTCTATTAAGGACGCACAGCTTCACATGGCATCTTCGAGCTATCACCAGAGGCTTCGGAGGGTTTAGGGTTTAGGGTCAGCAATCTAGGCCTTACAGGGATTAAACGGTTTAGGGTTTACGATTTTGGGGTTCAGGGTTTAGGATTTCAGGGTTGAGGGTGTTAGGGTTTAGGACGTTTAGGATGGTGGCATCTTTGTGTTGTACTAGTAGGGTTGAGGAGCGTAGGAGTCAGGGCATAAAACTGCAGTAGCATATATCCTTCATGTGAGTCTTGTTCTTAATCAGCTGTTTATGACTATGAAAAGCTATATGAGATGCACCGCCCCTACTACGCCCTTCGAGTCTGCATATGCATTGTCAACATAAAACACCCCAAAAAACCTTTTCTCATTACCAATGCCTTATCATTACACGGGTGAGACGAGACTTGTTGTATGGACCTTAAACCGTAAGCCCTAAACCCTACGCCCTAGACCCCAAACCCTAACTCTCAAACACTGAGCCCTAAATCCCAAACCCTAAACCTCAAATCCCAAACCCGTGTTTGGGGCAGTGTTACACCCTTGGGCAGATCCTAGACTAGTGGCTTCTGACTTCAACCACTTGTCAAAGAACATTTGGTGACTTTTGGTAATTCTCTAAATTAGGGTCCCTTTTAGGGTCCTTTTTTACAAGGGTGCCGTGCTTTTTTAGGAACCTAAAACGGGACCCTAATTTAGAGAACTACCCATATGTGCAACGGGAAGCAGAGTCTTCCAACTTAGGGTTTCTGGTATTTCCATGAGTCGGCGTGTGGCGTTTATGATGTTAGGGATTGATATTGACTAGGCAGTTATGATGAAGTTTTTCGGGTGCCATGATCTCAGCCACTCTGCAAGGGAGATTTGTTGGCTGATGCCTGTAACGGTCTATTTCCGGCCCTGGGAGGACGATGATGATGATCCGGTGGCAGAGGCTACCAATTGTTCCGTTGCTGACATGGGTTAGGGCCGGGTTAGCACGAAGTACGAAGCATGATTTTGATATTTTTGGCTTCGTTGTGATTCAACGCAAACAACAGTCGTTTCTCTTGTTCAGGCGTACCTTACGACATGCACTGGACCTGGCATGTAAACAAAGCCACAAAGCTGTCTTCAAGACACGTGGGCCTACTATGGTAGATCCACTGTCTACGCACCTTTTTCCTTCTCAGGGCTGCAGAACCCATATTGAACCTTATAGTTATACGTGATCCACGAAAACCTAAGCCCGAAACTCCAATGCTTTTTCATAGATCCTCTTCCTACAGCCCTGAAAGGAACCGAGAGCACTCCTTTATTATGGAACCGTGTGTAGTTTTGTGTGTATGGTTCTAGGGTTTAGGGTTTAATATAGGGGCCTATACCTGAACCCTGAACCCTAAGAAAACCCTAAACTCTAAACCCTAAACCCTAAACCCTAAACCCTGAACCCTAACTGGTCCCTTTTTGGGTCCTTATTATAATACGGCACCTATTATTTAGGGTACCTCAAAAAGGGACCCTATTTTGACAACTACCCATGTATCTTCGAACACAACTTTCCAAGATGTCCTTTGAGAGTTTCTGGGTTTAGGCTTTAGGCTT